CCGCCCCCCTCCTTCCCGTCTGCCCCGTTTCCTGCTGCCACGTCTCCAGCACGGGCTGTGCTCCCCCGAGCACGGCTCCATGGGACGGTAGCTCCTGCGGGGCTCGGCCCTACCTGCGGCACTCCAGTGGCCAGGGATGCTCCGTTTCCTGGGCAGAGATGCTCCTGCCTCCCATCGGCTTTTCCCCCCCCGCTCATCTCAGTCCCCTGGTCCCCCCCACATCACGATACTACAGCAATTTCATGTGGCCACCAGGAAACTGCTCCGGGCACCACCCGGTTTAAAACAACCTGGCAATAAAAGCCAGCCGATTGCCGTGCCCATGGCAGCCCCCGCACAGCCTCGCTGACAGCAATTTGGGCCCCAGAAGGGGGGTTGCAGAGGGGCAGGGCTGGGACTTCACAGGCTCTTTCTTCCCCCGAGCATCCTGATCCCCTTCTCAGGGTTGCTGAGAGCACAGGAACGCCAGGAGGCCTCCGGCTCGGCTCTGCGGGGCTCCTGGGACAGCAGGCAGGGTGTTATCCATCTGCAGAAAGGCAATGGGGAAAAACCTCGTCCCCTCCCACTGGGCCATTGCTAATAATGAAGTGCGTGGAGGGGGAACGGAGCCAAGTGACCTCCGAGTCACATTCAGGGCTATAAAAGGAAGCTGGGTCTCCAGCACGGCGCCTCTTCCACAAAAGCAACCGGAGGATGAGGGGGCTGCAAGCAGAGCTGAGAAATAGCTGCCAGGCAGCGGGAGAGGAGCCTTTAGCGCTGAGCAAAGTGCGAGGTGCACATATGCTCTCTGTTTCTGCACATCTACGTCTTCATGAAACCTGCCCGAAACTGTGTCATCTATTTTGAACGGTGCAGAGAAATACTTTGATCTGCCTCCGCCAGCCCTGGCTGCGGTTCAGGCACCGGTAAGTGGCTGGCGTACAAGTGGCCAATCCCAAAACCTGCACGATGGAGAGACAGGAATGGGGCTGCTGGGACGACATCTCCCTCCGGCTGACCGCAGCGAGGGACATGACGGGTCCTGGGAACACCTCCGGAGCAGTGCGCCGTGTGTCCAAGCCTGCCTGCAATCTTTGTGCCAGATACCAGCATCGCTTTGGGGCTGCCAGGCTGGAGAGGCCATTGGGAGCTCTTGGGTAGCGCATCCCTACATCGCCCTGGGGCAAGGACAGGCCCCGAGCTGGGGAGGAGGACACGCTGGGCCTGCCTGCACCTTGCATGATGCAAAGCAGCACAGCCTGATCCTCACCACCCTGCACTGCCACCTCGACCCCTTCCTCGGGAGGCAGCCCACCTCGCACCCCAGTCCGCAGGGCCCCAGACTCCTCACCCGGCTCCGGAGCAGCACGGAGAGCAGACAGCGCCAGATCTCTCCAGACACCCCATGCTGCTGCCCCTACATGGTACATGACCCCCACACTTGGCTCCAATGCTTTTGCCTCCCTTAACGTGACACTCCTCCCCGGAGGTGCCACGTCCGCGGGGCCGCTTGTCTTCCTGGGATGGCGACAGCTTCTGTCTGGGGACGTCTGCAGGCACCCGGCAAAGCAACTGTTCCAGGAAGCGCCAGACAGGGGACGAGGACAGAAGGGGGCCAGGAAACATGGAGGGCCTGGTGCCAGCACTGGTGAACGCAGGGGTACCGGCTGCTCGGCTGGGTCTGCCCAGCTTGGAGGCAACAGCACCCAAAACGCATGCCAAGACCCCAGAGCCAGCGCGGTGCAGTCCCACACACAGCACCATCTGTGAGCCAGCCCAAGCACCCTCCACTCTGGAGCAGCACAGCACCATTTCATCCAGCAGCCCAAGCAGGTGGCCAGGCCAGGCTGGCGACGGAGGAGAGGAGCCCAGCGCTGGCAGAGGTCTCCCTTGAGAGTCAGCGGGTGTCTCTGCCACCCCTCGGCAGATCAGGGTGAGCGGCAGCATCCTAGTGGTCACAGAACCCGTTCCGGGCGGCCCCGCCCCAGGCGCGCCCCCCCAGCCGCTGCTCCCACCTGGGGCTCGAGAGCCAGGTCCCAAGCAGGGCATGCAGCCCCCCCCGCCCCTCCTCCTCAGCTCTACGCATCCCACTTCCCAGCAAAAGGTGCTGGTGTGGCTGATTTCTACCAAACCTAAACAACCGGCAGCCCCCAGGGCCCTTCCCCACCTGTTGGGACCTTCCCGGCTTCCCCACCTCCTGGATCCAGCACTGCAGAGCACCCAGTCACGTGCCCAGCAGCGAGGAGGACATTCACCTCCTCCTCCTCCTGTCTCCTGTCCCAGGGCACTCTCCCAGCACACAGTGTCAGTGCTTCGGCCGCCTCCCATGGGCTGCTCTTGCTCTGACAGCAGCAGGTCCCTAAGTCACTGCACAGGTTGGGCTCCTGGGGACCTGGGGTTTGCAGGGTGCATTGCCCAGGTCACCTCCTGCTCACCAGCACCCCAAAGCTGACACAGCCCTTTGCCCGGGCACCTTCCCCGAGCCATTCACTGACCCAGACAAGCCACATCCACAGTGGGGGGCTTGAGCCCACAGCAGAGCCCTTGCAGGCCCTGCCAGCAGCGGCGGACCAGCACTGTGATACCCTCAGCAACTAAATACCCCCTGCCTGCTGGAAGGGACAGCCCAGGTCCTTGTCCTGCCACGCCATGGGAGAAACCGGCC